GTGGTCCAAAAATTATTTTAAAAATATGGTTGTGATCGTGAGGTTGTGTAGGTCACGTTGGTATATTCATTTGTCCATTTTGAGCAATGTATGAGAAGTTATTTTGAATGGACGGTTATGTGCTCTAAAGTTAACGTTTTTATAGTTAATTCGCATATAGGTGACACGTATCCCGAGGACGAGCGTGCACATTCGAGGCAGGGGGGCTACGACCCTTCTACATACCAGTGAGTGGGCTTTTGTTTTCCGTATATACCTATATACATTTATATTCCCAGAAATTGATTTAAAAAGGGTTATTTGCCTTATGCCATGTACTTTATTATTTATCATTTATGCATCGTTGCATGCATCATTTGTGGCGTACATATACATATGCATATGTCATATATATTTATGTGTGGGTGCTGTGGAGGCATAGGTAAGTGCCAGGTAAGCGTTAATTAACGATTGCATTAAATAGTGGTTAGAGACGATTAGAGAGCTCATAACCTGCACCCCCGGTGTTAGTGCTCCCGCCCAGAGTAGGGCACAGTCCTTCACGTGTTGTTCACCTCCCGCACCATACGCTCAGCTTGGATCCAAGTTAGGTGCATAGGCCTGTCGTACAGACCACAGTAGGTGGTTCCGACTCGTAGGTGACCCGCGATTATTCGCACAGCCTTCACGTGATCGTAGCACTAGAGCGTATATACATGTTACACCCAGGCCTGTCGTACAGACCCTTTAGGTGGTTCCGACTCGTGGGCAGGGTTAGTTATTGAGATTGACAGTTGAGCTCTATATACAGCCGTACAGGCCACGTTAGGTGACTCCGGCTGCCAGAGGATTGTGTGATTGATATGACTTACACCTGAGCACCTGCATATCATTAGGAGATTTGTCATGGCATATATTGAGCATGTTGGCATACCCTTGAGCATGTTTGAGCATATCTATACATACGTACATATGTTATTTTCTGGGACGTATACAGGTTTTACGGCGAGGGGTTAGATTGTGTTTTGCTAAATGGTTTTCAAAGAGCTTTGTTTTTGCCCACTCACGCTTTTGTTTTGCGCCCCTCCAGGTTCTAGTTGCTTAGTCGTTGCGGTGGTTTCCCTTGCGAGCTTTTCGGCGTTCTGACAGACACTCTACATTGTAGGTTCGCCTTCGGGCGTACTACGGTTGTTATTTTATTTGGACTGCTATAGACCTGCTCTGAATTTGTATCACACTAACTAGCACTTATTCTAGTACTTGAATGCTAGTTTTTAATTATTCGTACTTTTTTATTACTACTCTATTAGCTTCCGCACGTGCACATGGCTACGTCGCCTTCGTGTGACGGCCAGCACGCTCCTACCTCGGTCGGGGTGTGTCAGAAATCACTACCACAAAATCACTAAATTCGCTCTTCTCTTTGTACATGCCTCTAGGCCTCTCCCTTCATTTTCCCTAAGTAAAATAGCCCTACAACAAATTGTTTGTTTGTTTATTTGGTTTTTTTTTTTAACAAACGAAATTATCTAAACCAAGGGAGTGGGAAAGTGAGCTAAGCCTCATAATGGGCTAGCAATAACGTGGTTCAAATTCGTGTTTGGTGAGAATCGAACCTAAGACCCCTCACTTACAAGTGAAGAGGAATACCACTAGACTGTAATATTAAGGGGCAACAAAATGTTATTTTAGAAGCTTTCTAAAAAATTTCTACTCCAATAATTCTCTCTAGTTTAAGGAGTAATAAATGTCTTAATTTGTTTTTAATCTTGATACTTTTCATATGTTTTGTTTGCAAATAAAATTACAAACAAAAAACAAAGAACTATCATTGACACTCCAAAAATCCAATTGTGCTTTCTTCATAAGAGTATTTTTGAGACCCGGCAGTTTCTTACACGACACGAAAATAACAGGTTTCGGGTCAACACGATAATTAATCGAGTCATTATCAGGTGACCCATTAAGAACCCGTTAATGGGTATACATGCGAGTAACACGTGGGTAAACCGTTTCGACCCGTTAAGAAAAATAAATTATAATTTTAAAGTTAATTACTAAAAAATTTATTATAAAATACAATAGCCATATTGTATATATTGGTATATTCTATATTAAATATATATTTTTGTATTATTATTCTATATAAGTTAAAAAAATTAAGTTTTATTCATTTATTTATTTTTATTATGAGAGTTTCTTATTATCATTAATAGGATAAATTTTACTTAACATGTTGTTGTCCAAAATTAAAATCAACTAGTATAGTATTTGTATAGGCAATAAGACATCTCTACAAGTATGAAAAATGTGAAAGAATATATAAACACTCGTGATTCATCATTCCTCCACGAGTAGACAATGGTTACACTTACATTATCGTTTAGATTTTTAAAACCTTCCAAACCGTCATGAATAGTGTTTTTTATTTGAGTGTAAAAGTAATAAAATTAATAATAATTATTGTAGAAGTGTAAGAAATGTAAAAAAGAAATATTCAATCACTCGTAGCGACAAGCTTTACAACTTTCATGAAGGGGTCAACTTCGAAATCCGACACTTTAATCCATAAACCTTAAATTTGTATTTAACCATCGATTGTTGTTTAGGCTTTATAATTTATATTGAATTTCATTTTTACAATTTTCTTTTTTGAAAACATGATCTTCTGGGGGATGTGGAAGGATGAACGGTTCGGATCTTTGATATCACGTCCCGATATTTACGGTTAATTGAAATATGAGTCGATGTTATATAGTTTGTAAAGACTTTATATACACCAAGCAATATTTTCATTAACGGTAAAACTCTGAACATAATATTAACGATCCGAACCATTCATCTTCCTGTATCCTCTAATAGATTATGTTTTCAAAAAAGAAAATATGAAAAAACAAATTTTGGTGAGAAAAATGAAGCATAAATGTAAACAACAATCGACGGTTAAATTTTGATCTATGATTTATATGATTATAGTGGCACATTTCAAAGTTAAGCCCTTCACGAAAGTTGTAAAGCTTGTCATTACAACCGTTTATATATTTTTTCTATATTTTTCACACTTCTACATTAATTAAAAAACTATTAAAGACTTTACTTAAACAATAGCCATAGGATAAATGGGAAGAGAGTGCTAATGTAGAAAGCCTCATTGAAAATATTATCAATATAACTCTTGAAGACAATATATCGAGCCAAAGTTCCAATACCATTTCTCATGGTGAATGATGAAAATTGAAGAGTTTGATTGTAAGAAAATGTGCAAGGTTCCAAACCTTGAAACATAACTCCCTTAATTTTGCAAATCTTTTGAACATTTGATATTTTGTAATGTTCTAATGTTTTTTATTTTTTATTATGCTCTTATTTAGGGTATGTAAATATGTAATACTTGAAAGACAAATGCGTTTTTATGTTTTGAATGTGATAATATGGTATGTATATACTTATTTAGTATTATATTTTTCATTTGATTATTTATTGGTTTAAAATATGTTTTTCTTAATAGGTAACGGGTCGGGTCATATTACCTGTTAATATTATCAGGTCGATTTTGGGTTGGGTCATTTTACCCATTTATTTTAATGGGTGTTACACGACACGACTTGTTAAGATATTGGGTATGACATGAAAACAACATGAACACGAGAAACATGACACGAATGCCAGGCCTAGTATTTTTCACACACCTCGACCTAAATCAGGGCGTGACGACCAACACGCCTTGATTTCGGTGACTCCGGCTAGATGGATGAGCTCTAGACTCAGCCGTGCAGGTCACGTTAGGTGACTTTGGCTGACATATCATTTGCATTGATTTATATCACTTGGCTTACATATTTTTATGTTGAGATATTCGACATGGCATATATGTGGATTTTGCTATTCTGAGTATGGTTGTGGTATAGATATGAATTTTATTTCTGGGAAATTATACAGGTTTTATGGCGAGGGGTTAGAAATTTTGAGAAATGAAATGATTTTGAAAAGCTTTGTTTTTGCCCACTCATACTTTTTGTTTTGCGCCCCTCCAGGTTTTTGGTAGAAGTGCTTTGGTGGCTCACAAGGATTTCGACGGTGGTTCTAACAGAACATCACAAATGTAGGATCACCTTTGGTGTTGTATAATTAGTATTCGTCCTGCTGAATTGCACTTAGGCTACTTATGCTCTGGTTGTGTATTTCACACTTAATCTCGTACTAGCACCTTATTTTAGCTAGTGCTCTAATTAGTTTCGTTTTTATTTATTTGCATTTCTCTATATCATTATTGCTTCCGCACTGTGCACATGGTTACGTCACTCTCATGTGACGGCCAACACGTCCTGATTTAGGTCGGGGTGTGTCAATTTTTCTTTCTAAACATACAATTTTTTGAGTGCACATTTGAATTTTTGGACTATCAATAATAAAATTTTAGAGTGAACAATTAGATTTTTGAAATGTCATTAACAATTTTCAAAGAATAAAAGTAAATTAATCATCAATAATTAATATAATAATAATTGTTAGAAATTAACTTGATAAATGAAGCCGGAGAGAAAGACAATCCAATTTGATAAAGGAGATGATGAGATGGACTGGAGAGACGAGAAACAGAGATGAAGTAGACGACAAGAGAGAGAAAAGATGAAGTCGGGATGGCAAGAAGGCTTAAGAGTTTTTTTATCGGAAAGTAGAGGTTAGAGGATGAGAGGATGATTTTGGATAAATGATTAGGAAAAAAAATGAAATGCATAATATAATAAACAATTTCTCAAGACTCTAAAAAGATTAATTTAGATGGTTTCCCTAGCCAAGATACGATAATCCAAAGCTGCTGGTGGTCCAAAACTGAATCACGACCGTTAGCGTATACCGAATCTCTAGGAAGACCCAACAAAATTTGACCGAAAATTATGTGACAAAAAAAAAGAAAAGAAAAAATCGATAACAAAATTAATCAAAATGAGCCGACTGTTGTTCTCTAAATCGCTCCTCCCAGCACCCTCCTCTCTTGCTTCCGCCTCCCTTCGAGGAACACCATTCAAGTTTTCTTCGTCGCTCACTCCGACTTCTAGAGTTCCTCATCGTATGGCCACCGACGCTTCGTCGTCCCCGCCATCCGCCACCGGCGGTGACGCCACCGACCGTCCCGTTTCCAATGCAGGCCACGAACCGACCACCTCCCCTTCGTCTTCTTCTTCTTCTTCGTCGACTCCAGCTTCCTCTGCCATTGATTTTCTCTCGCTCTGCCACCGCCTCAAGGTAATCGAATTTGTGAACAGTTCGTAGTAGTGTTTTGTTGTGGGCATGGGTTTTGGATTGTTTGGTTTCGAATGAGTTTGTGTTGTTGTTGGTTGTGAATTAGACGACGAAAAGAGCTGGATGGGTGAAGAGAGATGTGAAGGATCCAGAGTCGATAGCTGACCATATGTACCGGATGGGATTAATGGCTCTGATTGCTTCTGATATCCCCGGTGTCGATCGAGACAAGTAAACTCTGTAAATTTCTTCCTGTTTTATTTATGGGATTTATTCCCAGTGTTTTCTAAGATCTTTTTCTTTTTTTTTTTTAACTTAATTTCAGGTGTATTAAAATCGCCATTGTTCATGATATTGCTGAAGGTGAATATTACATAATTAAACTCTGTAAATTTTCATTTTAATGTTCAATAATGGAAATGAAAATTCCTGAAATATTCATGAATATTTGGAAAATATTTTCTACTTGTGATTTATTGTTGCTATTAAGGCTGTAAGTTTTTTGGTTCCTTGCAATTTCTCGGGTAGCCATTGTTGGGGACATAACCCCCTCGGATGGGATTCCAAAGGCGGAGAAGAGTAGAAGAGAGCAAGAGGCGTTAGACCGCATGTGCAAATTACTCGGTGGAGGCTCAATAGGTGATAAGCTAGTTCATTCCAGGATTGTGCTTTTGTTATTCTTATACCTGAAATTGGTAAATACTAATCTTATTTTGGTTGGTTTACACACTTATCATATTTCAGCTAAAGAAGTAGGTGAACTGTGGATGGAGTATGAGGGGAATTCCTCGCCAGAAGCTAAAATTGTTAAGGACCTCGATAAGGTATGTAGATTGTTGAACTGAATTTGTGAATTTCGATTCTAGCTTCAATTGGTTTCCGGTCTTATTACGGCAAAAGTTATGTATAGTTGGTCAGCTGGTAATCTATGTTCACATGGTTTGGAAGAGATTTATGTAGTAGTATGCACAAGGAGGGATAATTACTTCCATATTGCAACAATGTTTATACGTTTTGTTAGAATTGATTGAATCTTCAAGAAGTGATGAGTATAGTTGAGTTTTTAAGATTTCTAAGTCTGTTTAGAGGAATTATGATGGCAATTGTGGGAAGGCATCTAGATAAGTTTTGTCCGACTCTGATAATAGCAGTAGGCAGAAAAGGTTGAGTGTAGTGATTGATTCACCACCTTTGGTACTTCAGTTTCAAATTTTTCTTATTAATGGTCGACGTGTTCACTAGATTGTATGTTGTAATTCTTTTTTCCATGCAGGTGGAGATGATACTTCAAGCCTTGGAATATGAAAAGGGTGAGGCTTTTCTCTATCCATTGTATCATTTCTGAATTATGGTATCAATTGGCTTTTAACTTCAAACACAGATGTAAGGGGTCTAGTCATTTCATCTACAACAACGCAAAAGAAAATGACTTTTGTCTATCATGCGCGCTTATAAACTAACCCCATCTCTGACTACAATATTCTTCGTATTCTGAAAATAAAAATTGGACTGAGCGTTATTTTGGATTTGCGCAGAACAAGGGAAGGATTTAGAAGAGTTTTTTCAGTCAACTGCTGGTAAGTACGTCTGGCTCTTGTAATTAGTTTCATCAGTATGCAAGTCATTTCCTTTTCCATTGCTTTCCTCAAATTTCTGGAAATCATTACAGAAAATTAAGTGCCACATGCATTTGTGTGATCATGAAAAATTCGTGCTTCAAAGGAGAGAATAAAGCCTTTGGAGTACGAGCTTATATCTTCAAGCACTTGAGGCTGTATATTTTCCCGTGTGATTGCGTTAGGTGGATGATCATTTTATGTTCTGTGATTTTGAACATAGCCTTAGAAATGCTCAAACTTACTGCAGGGAAGTTTCAGACTGATTTGGGAAAAGCGTGGGCATCAGAGATCGCGTCAAGAAGAAAAAAATAAGGCTAGTTTCTACCCAATCTTTTGCAATGGCCCTAGAAGAAATTTCCATTACTTTTGAATCAGGATTAGATTCGTACTATTCATCTTTAATAAAAAGTGATGTAACACGATGATATTAATGTAAGGTATTACCTTTATATTTGTGCTATGGGTAGTCGAACCTTAAGAGTTCCTATTTATAAGTGAAGATGAATGTTATTAGATTATAACACTAAATGGTGTTTATTTGTTAACTTTAATTATGCTATTAACTAATAGTTACTAGAAACAAAGAAACAAATATACTAATTTCATTCCATAGGCCGCTCCAAAAGGGAGGATGGGTTTTATACATCGAATTGCTTAGTGACGTCTGCTCACAAATATTCAGATACCAAATTCTAAACAAAAAAAAATTACAATATGGACCTGTGGCCTAAATAGCTAAGTGCGTAACATGCCGCCCTCGTCGAAAAGGAGCTTGTCCTCAGGCTTCAAAGTCCAAAAAACCAGCTTGGATGGAGTTGGCATCCTCCTGAAGGAAATATTTTATCCAAGTAAGAATAGTTGAGCACACAGGGGTACATATTAGCTCTTAAAGTAGGAACGCACTCAAAACAATTCCATACATATGAAATTGAAAGCCTAGTGTTGGTGAACCAAGACGCTTTACAAATTAAAGAGGAGAGTTTGAATTTTCATACCCTTGAAGCTCATCGTTGTGTTCACAAGGTTATCACTCAAGTGAAGGGTCTTTAAGTTTGCTCCAAGCTTCTAGAATGCTTTCTTGTGTTTATGATCTTCTTTCTTTGAATGTTTGCTTCTTTGCTTCTCCTTTCCTTCTTGAAGATTTGAGGAAATGATCTCCAAAGCTTGCCAGGTTGCAAGCCTCTAAGTCTCCACACAAAAATGAGGTGTCAAGTGAAGATGGAATGATCTACAGGATGAGAGATCACTAGCTATTCACCCTAGATGGGTGGCCTTCTGAGAAGGAGAAATGACATGTTTCTCTTTTGCCTCAAAGAAACCCCAATGAGGTTAAAGTTATAAGTTTGTTCTTATACCTCATTCCAAGTAAATAAGAAACTTAATAAGTCCATCACACTGTCTCACACTTTCTCTAGCATGGCCAGTTTTGACATTGTTTGGGCTAATTCCCATTTTGTTTAGTTGTCATGTAACTTAAAACTCAATGGGCCTTTTGGACCAAATCCTAGTTTGGGCCGCGAAACGAACTTAAAGCCCAATACGAAACTTTTCATATGATTAATTAACTAATTAATTAATTTTGATTATGCTCAGTTAAACTATTTAATTGCTTATCCATGTCATTGATATTTCTTCACATTCATCCTTACTCGGTGTACAATCCATTAGGTTCCAATTAACAGGGCAATGGGCGATTGTAACTCTTAGCAAGCAATTTCAAATTGAGAATAACTTTTAAGTCTCCCTTTGTTGAAGATTAGTGATCTTTAGGGCTTTCACCAACCATGAATGATACCTAGCAGTATGTCATGGTTATCCAAGCTAAGTAGAAGTGATTGGAGAACCTATCCAGTTACAACTACAATGCAATATGATCCTTCTCTAACTTAGTACTCTTGACCACATTGTGTTAGTAATAGTTTGTTTCATGTCTACTATCTAATGTGATACTTCTCTATATGATTTTACAGAACATGATTTGGAACGTACTTCCTAAATCTCATTCATATGTTTTGGCCAAAGACTCTGAATCATATTAGAGTCCCTTATTGTTACAACCCATACCTTAAAATAATGTATCTTTTCCCTAAAAATGTGAAATGCTTAAAATGAGAACTTAAGTTGCATGTGGGAATCGAGCCAAGGAAGAATGAGAACTTAAGTTGCTCCTCTCGATGCAGTTTTACCGGTGAACTCCAAGTGAAAACTCATTGAGTTTGAGCCCGATTAGAACTAAGATTAATCCAAAAGGAACCCAAGTATCTTTCTCTTGCTTTGTATGTGAATTTTGAGCTGAAATCTGAGGTTTCTAACCTGTGTGTATTATGTGGTCTTCGTTTCCAGTTTCCGACAAAGAGGTCCAATTGAATTCCGGTGAGTTCGAAGTGTTTCCAGTCCAAAAAATGAGCTAAACTAATTGAGGGTAAGGTATATTTAATTCTTGGTGGGGTTTTGCATTAAAATCGAGGGTTTTAACCCTATTCATGCTCGGTTTTGTTTTCCAGAATCTGGCGAGTTCCACCTATGCAATCTTGATGGATTCAAGGTTGAATCCCTCCCATTTCATTCTAAATCGTGTTTAGATAAGTTTATAGACACATTTAGATAATTTTAGTTAAGCGTGGGAAGAATTCCTGTTATGATCTGTGATTAACTTAATCATAATTAGGAATTAGTTAGTTTTAAGTGAGACTTTTATTAAGAGAATAACTAGTAAATGGGGTTTTACTGCCAACTGGCAAGTGATGTAAGGGGAATATATGTGCACACCTTTGGTGTGAGAGACACAATGATCATTTGAATTAAATATAATTTTAAAAAAACAAACTGGAGCTCAGCTCCTTCTTCTCTCTTCCTTCCTCTTCCTCCATTGTTGCCTATTACTTGCAGGTTGAGTAAGGACTCAAGAACTGGATCCTAACATTGGCATCATCCATTTCGATCCTGGTCTCCCTCTTGTATGCCATGCTCCTCAAACACCTATTTCAAAATTGCCACGAATGCTCGTCTCACTGCTCTAGAATCCTCCATCGATGCTCATTTTACCTCGTTGGAATCAACCATCGCCGCTACTTTGTCAGGTCATGCTATGGCCATGGATAATAAATTGGCCGTTGGTTTTGAATAATTCCTACGCGAACTTGCTTTTATCGATAAGGGCACTGTAAGAATCCTATGTGGACTCAACTAGTTAAAGATAAAGGAGAATAATATGTTGGTAATACAAATTAATAAGGGTTTGGATACGTGGAAAGCTACATCATATAATTGAGGGGTATACTTTCATAGTGCATTTGAAAGGAAACACTACTCACAACCACCTCTCCACGATCGGGATTGGAAGCAATGGGAAAATAACCAACCTCGACGATAGATGGGAGTTGGCTGTCATTGCTTCAATAAGTGCAAGAGTTCCCTGCTCACAGAGAAATACGTTCTGCAATTAGGGTTCTATCACCATTGGAGCATAAGGTTTTGATTGAGTAGAAGAATTCTTGAGTGTGTAAACAGTAACCATGGCTGCACTAGGTAAGTCTTTCTTATCTAATTTCAAATCGTGACCTAGTATGCATACTAATAACTAAGGTTTTTCCAACATTTGGTATCAGAGCCATGTTAGCAAGCCCTAGGTCCGATGAATTAATAAGAAATCCTAGTGCTTTAAGAATGTATAAAATTTACATGGTGATTGCTGCAGTTTATTTTTATCGTGGGCACTATAATTCTTCCATTAATATGTATTTCTCCTCTCTATGTTTGTGGTTGTTGGTGGAGTTGGCTTTTTTGGATCTTTTGAATTGGAGCTTCAAATTCCATCGTGCATGGGTGGTTCAAGCATTTTGCCTAATCTGAAATTCTCACTCTCTCAGTCTGCTGGATGGTGTCTTGGTTTTGTTGATGCTTGGTTGAAGGAACAGATAATCATGCTATTTTAACCATTGGACAAATGTTTATTAAATCTTCACCAAAGTGGGATTTTATGGAAATTTTGGTCTGGGAAAGGATGCATGGAGTGATTCCATTTCTAAGGCTTCAACTCTTGTTGACGATGAAACCAAGCGAAGATTGCAGAGCCTCAGGAAGATATTGTTGACCTCGTTCTTCGCCATGGTGGTGGAGACGACATTTCTGGTAGACGTAATGAAGACAGGGTTGCAACTGCACAGCGAGTCATTGTCGTCTGGGTCAACCCATCATTCAGGACATTGGGAGAGATCGCGTGAGAGAAAGGTCCGCTGGGATTGTACAACAGCTTGTTGCTCAAGTTACTTGTTTTCTTATTGCTTAACATATTGGGTTTTTGTTTATTTGTACTAATCGTTGCTTCTTCAGAAAGATGAAGGTTTTCTCAAAAGGAATAACCAATTTCCTATTTACATGCATTGTGGTTCAAAACCCATAAAATGTTCAAATTCTTTTCCAAAGAGGAGAATGTATAAGTTGTTTGGTGTTTTCAATCAGCGTATGGCATCATATTGATCAGGCTACTTTCTTGTCCAAACACATGATATAATTGCATGATAAGATCCTGTAGTGATGGCTGTACAATTAAGGATAATGGCAGTTTATATCTCTTTCTCAAAGGTGTGATATAAACATGCATTAACAGTCATTAATGGCTGTTTTAGATTTTTATGGCTTCCTCAGCCAAAGTTTTATTCGATAGGAAAGACAAGGGCTCTTCTTGATGGGTGCAGAGGTCACACACACCCAAGCGCACCAGATCACACCACACCTGCTCCCGTACTAGCTCCATCTCCCGTTCTTGGTCTCCAGGTTGTTGGTACTTGAGTTTACAAACTAATACCAAATATGTGCCATCACATGTGATAATTGGGACTTTAGTTTCGCTTATCCCTCCGTAAGCATCACGCTTTCCATTCCACTAGAGCTTTATAAGTTGGAGTGAGGGGAAATATTAGGTTTCTCTTATCAGTTTAATGCCCCCTGTGATAACTCTTTGCATGCTTACTTTATTTGAATTTCATGTTACATGGACACAAGGAGCAAGATTTCACTAGTCTGACTCGAGTAACTTCCTAATATTGTTTGGGTGGTATGCGGTTATACAATGCAAGCCCTTATGTTCCATTGGTTTGGAAAGTCTATTTTTTATACATGGGGTAATTAATAATTCATATGGCTCTCTGTAAGGATAGTTATCAATTATTTGTAGTAGAGGTTCTAGAAATGGCTTGGTTTCTCCTTTCAAGTGTCTAAGTAACACTCATTCTTTCAAGTGTCTAAGCATCAACTAGTCTGGATGGTCTAGATGGCCCTAGTCAGGATTGGCACAACTAATATGAAGGCATCGTCCCCTGAATGTAGTCAGGGTGATGTCTTAAGATTCTCCTACTTGGGTTATAAGCTTACGCTACTAAGCTCATTATAAATGCTACAATATGATAATTATGCCATAATTTGTTTTAATTTTTCTGATTGATTGCCTTAAAGTTTGGTTTTGTCTTTTCTGTATTAGTTTTGGTCGAAGGGAAAACATGAATACACAAACAATAAATGGTA